TTGCTTGCTTAAAACAGTGTGCAGATGTTCTGGCTGTGATTATGGGAAGCGGGATGGGCTGAAAAACAAAGATGAAGAGCTGTATTAGAATAGCAACAAATGGTGATAAGGCATCTGTCAAACTTACTTGTGACCACTTCCAGTAAAAAGCCATTCAATAGTATATAAAATAAGCAACTAGGAGCCATCTAGGCTCAATATAAATGATTTTTTCTCTACCAAAGAGCTGATGTGCAAGAACTTGACACCTCCTACCATTTGGCCAAGTGGCAACACTATCACGTAATTTTACCTAGGAAAACTAGGGACTGTTCTGTCTCTGTACTCAGTCAGTAGCCTGGCCAGCAAAAATTGCAGCTCTGTGTACATTTCCTAAGTAGAAAGGTCTTCACTGATCCATTTCACCTAACAATAGATGACATTGACTGGTTTTAGCTTCTCTTCTGCTTTTCCTCCATGCCAAAATGACGATATGTGTTGGAGAGGAGCAAATTCTGATGTGACAACTACTAAGTAATAATAACAACATATTAAAAGCATCTATATCACATGTTTGGAAATCATGTAAGCTCTAGGATGCGATGGTCTCATTGAAACAGGAAGTAGGGCTTCTGAACATCCAGGACAGTTCCAGAAAAGATCCAGAAAATGGATTTTATGCATCAAACTCACGTACATTCTTTTAAACATATTCTCATATGCAAATCTCTGTCTAGCATTAAATAATTCACTTAGTGGGTAAGGACAAGGTCTTTTTTCTCCTTTTTTTTTCCCCTCACTGAAACATCCCCCATTTTTTCCCAAAAACATGCTCTACTGAAAATATTCTCACCACAATAATGGTGATATTTAGATAATTTTTGTTACTGTATCATGATTTATGTCACTTTCAGTTTAATCTTTGAATAATCAGCCATATTTTTATTTACAAATGTTCACGAGTTAAGCTATTGAAAACAGGGAAAGATGTTTTTTCCTCCTCCCTACTAAGTGGCTTACATGCATCTGTATATAAAACTGAAGTAAAACCTTTCCTGTTTATTTATTTCAGAACCTGAAGATGCAACGAATTATTCTTCAGATGTTTACTTCAGAACCAGGAGATGATATTCTTCAGACTTTTTAAAAGTTTGATGTATAAGACCTGTGTCTAGTTTCCTACCTCCATTCCTAAACCAGCTTGTCAACCTGGCAAGTGATTTGTCTATGACTGTTCCAAAGCAAAATGGAGAAAAGCTGAAAATATTGCAGTTGCCCAAGCCAGCAAAAGCCCCGGGAGGCTACACGTTCTATTTGATGTATCTGAGGAAAGGTCAGCCTCCTGCGTCAGTCACAAACCAAATGGGAAATCTCCAGTGGGAAGTCAGGGGCTGTTTGTCAGCAGGACAGGTTGCTCCTTCAAATCTGGTTGTGCCAGTTCTCTGCAATGCTCATCTCCATAACTAAGGCTGGCAGTTATTAGATTGCTGCATCATAAATTTAAGGTCTGCTGTAATTGCTCCTCTCAAAAACCTACGTATATATTCATACACTAGCTTTGCATGCCAAAGGTGAGAGTATTAAGAGTGGGGAAGCTTGTGATAAGTGGAGGAGAGAGAGAGAAAACAAGGAAAATTAAAAGAGGTAGTGGAAAGCACAGGCAGTATCACAAGAGGCAATGGACAGCCTTTTCCATCTACCTTTCCATAATGCCTTGCAAGTAAATAAATTGTTCCTGCATACCTCCATATTTGGAAAAACTCTTCACCGAAAGGGTTATCAAGCACTGGAACAGGCTGCCCAGGGAATTGGTTCAGTCACCATCTCTGGAAGTATTTAGAAGACCTGTAGACGTGGCACTTAGGGATATGAGTTGGGCTCAATCATCTTAAAGGTTTTTTCCAATGCAAATGACTCTATGATTCTATGAAGTCTTCCCCAAAGGTCTTTCTTTGGGGAGAATTCATGAAGTCATACCTACATTTTAGATCCAAGTTACCCATTTTCATATTTTTAAACAGAAATTTTGTCCCAGACTTTCATGTGGGACAAATACTCATAGCCCCTCAAACCCATTTAACACATCAGAGGAGCTGTTAGGGTTTTATTAATTTTTAATGTGCTTTTACCAGCTGTAATACTTTCGTAGTTTTTCAAGGTCTTATACACTATCCTGGGGGTTGCTCTTGAGTGCATGATCATTGTAGAGATGCACACAAATGCAACTCCTTCCTATGGATTCAGGACTAGAAAATATCCCCTTCCAGTGCTGGTAAAGATGCACTTCAAGGTGAATCTGTGCCTTTCTTTAGGGGTCTGAAAAGCAAAGGGGTCTTTAGATAGGTCTGAAACGCAAACCCCTTTCAATAAAGCAAAAAGCAATTAGTTTTATACTCTACAACTGCAGTAATTCCTATCCTGTGTTAAAAGTGATATCCTGCAGAAACATGGTGAAATGTTTCTTTGGCATATACCCCAATAACCCTTCACCCTTTTATTCTTTCCTCCTGAGTGGTTGCATTCTCTCTGCCAGTGATGCTATTCTAAATTTCCCGGGTATTTGTTTTCCACCTAGCAGTCCTCTTGACACTCTCTTTGGAGCTGCCCCTTTCATAGTAACACAACATTTTGATTCCACTGTTGTGACACTTTGCAGATGGGTTGCAAGATTGGTAGCATGTGTCTAGACTCATTGACAGACCAAAAATTTGTCTAATTCAGTGAAATGTTGCAATTTTCTCTTCAATCTTATCATTTAACCTTACCATAAGCATTTGCCAGTGGAGATGACATGAACGATTTACATCTTCCACAATTAGCTAGTCTGGATGTATGAATTGGGCCTTATATCTTCTATAGAATGTCAAAAATTGCTATGACAAGTTGAAAGCCATCCTTTGACACAAATATCAAGTCGGGTTTGTTATTTTGGAGATTATTATCTCTCAGTGCTATGTTTTGCTAAAATGTAGGTAAAATTTAGCATGCCTTTTAAACTGTCGCTATTTGCTAACCCTCTGAAGAAGCTATTACAGTATTTTTTTAGTTATTACAATGAGGGTATTACTTCTGTATCTTATAATATAAATATGATTTCCTAATAAACATCCCTTTTTTCTGTAACCCACTCCATCTCCATTGTAAAAGACAAAATATCTGTTCTAATGTTCTGCATTTTTCTGTGGAGAACAAAATATTGCGGAGGTTAAACATTAGACATGGAAGACAAGCTCTTCCATCATATGCTTTATTGGTTAACTGAAAAAAACATTTTTTAAAAAAAAGTAAATTTAGAAAAACAAATAAAGATTTCTGGAATTGTGGAGTCAAAAGTTTGATCACTCCAATTTTTGTTACTTTAAATTGAGTGAAAGAACATTATGCATATTTAAAAAAAAGTTCTGTGTATGAAGACCACACATAGACCACAGCTTTTCTTCCGGCTATTTTTTTTTCACTTTTAAAAATATTACTTATCTTAGGAATCCTAAAAAAGTTGAAACTGTACTGAAGAGAATTTCCAATTAAGTATGACAGCATCAATCTGTTTGTATCTCTCAAGTATTTTCAAAGCCACTTTTGCACTCAAATTTTCATAAGACAGGAATTGAGAGTGGACCACCATTAGAAGACCACTTTTCAAGGGAAGACTTCAAAATTATGTCTAGTTTTTGTGAACCATGCATTGGCTTAGGCTAAAATAGATTCTGTCAAGACTAGATAGAAATAGCAATAATAGCGTCTGATCTGTGCAAGCTGGTTTTCTTTTGACATGCAGTTGCCAATATTCAAAAAATTTGCAAATCACAAGGCTACATATTTATGAGAACTACTCTCCACAAATCTCAAATTTTATCATGTTTGAAACTTCCTTCCTTGAAATTGGGAACAGTAAACTTGTAAGTGAAACTTGTAAATCAATTTTATCACTATGTGCATATGTATGATATATAAATATACTTGAAATTCTAAATTGAACTTGTAAGTAGATCTGATAAGTTTTTCTACTTCAAATTTCATTTCCTTCTAGGAGGTGGAGGGGAGTCATGGGAGCGTTATGGCTGGTATCATGCATGAATATGCATTTCATATGTTGTGCATGCAGTACCACACACTTTGCTTACTGCAATGGAACTATAAGTTCTCACAACAGTATATAATTTTTTAGAAAATGATCCAATCGGTTAAATCTACGCTTTTAATAAAATCCAACCAGATTCTGATTCACAGCAATAGAGAATGAGCTGTAAATTTCCAGTTCCATACTAAGCTGCAATGATATAAAGCTAAAGAAATCAGGACTGGAGTCTTACTTGCTTGTCTTTCTAATATAACATAATATACCTCAGTTTAAAAACAGTATCTTCCTCTATTACTGTAGTAGAGACAGCCCTCACTGGCACCTCTACTGTCCCAGGTACCTGTAGCACTGATCCAAACCAGTAATAGTTTGCTGTGATAATACAATGATTTATTATCTGCATATTCTGTAAATTACATTCCTTCTGAAGAAATAGTAATGTGTCTTCACAGCTATTTTAGATATTTAAGGAACAGTTTTATCATTAAAGCTACAGACAATTAAATGTAGAATAACCAGTGACTTTAGGCATTAAACGAATCAATGGTTAGCATTTGTTTTGGTGTGTGCTTTGTGAACTCCAAAGCATCCAAAATGTGACTGAATACAAAGGATACTCTTCTGATCTTAATATACCTTGTATATTGTGAAATATTAAAAATGTGAACAGGAAGGAAAGATGCTGTTGGAAGTCAAATAATTTGTAATGCTTTTTCATTTTTCTGGTTGCTTGCTAAGCTGCTAGGAAAGCATTCCCTTTCACCTGGCAGTAACCTTCAGAAATCTTTGTAATGCAGTTTTACACACTTTGTACGTTCTTTTCCTCACATTTTTACACTTGTTTATGAAGCTATCTGGAAACGTATCCCTATTATCATACAGGCTTATCTGAAGTTGTACCATACCTAAAATAAGCCAATTAAGTAGTAAGGATGGGCTCTTTTCAGCTGCACACTCATTTTCAAATGAATTTATTGAAGTAAAGGATTTACAGCATATGGACTCACAGACTTCTCATGAGTTAAACTGGCATCCATATGTACAGCTTTCAGTAGAGAACTCTAGAGTAATATTTACAATGTAAATATCAACTTTTATTACATAAGAAACAAATATATCACAACTTTCACTTCACAACATATTTGTTCTGGTTTGATGACTAAAGTCATCTCTTTGAAATACTATGTGGAACTCAAAAATAACTTGTTCTTCTCATAGACTTTACCAGATGTCCTTCAGAGGTCCTGAAAAGAAAAAGAGAAATATGTTTTAAAAGCCGTTTTCATAAGCAGTTGCATCATGAGGCGTATAGAAGCAGGCAGCAGACAAAAAGTAAGACTTGACAGAAAATAATTGCTGTGCTTGGGGCTGACAAGCATGAGATGGAGCTCAGCGGGCATTACAGCCAGCAGGCAAGGCTGTAGGATGAGGAAGAAAGGATGAAGGAATAGGCAAAAATGTTACTGCACGTTGGCCTACAGTGCACAACAGCTCATTTTGAAAACAACTGTATCCTTGAAATACAGACACGAATTCAGGTTTGTTGATGCACACTACATCATCAATTGGGCTCTGCGATAAAATGACCACTAACATTCAATGCTGAATGAGCAATTAACCTATAGGGAGATCTGAAACATCATTATAGTCCATAAGAAAGGAAAGGACTAAAAATATTTCCAGGAGGACACCCACGACCCACTGCACCACTGCTGTCTCTCACTTAGTCAATGCCACAAATTTTAGAAGGTGCCAAATCCAGGAGCAGATATTTTTGCAATAATCTTGTCTAGAAAGAATGTTCTTTCTCGAATGCCATCACTTGACAAATTATTTTGTTCCTTAAGGCATAAGCAGTTTATGTCCTTTCTAATCTTTGGGAACTTTAGAGGAACTCCTACATTTGTGGAAAGGAAAAGAACATTTTCTTTCAGTCTTGGAAGGAAACAACAGTTTGCAGAAATCACTTTTATTCCCCCTCCCTACAAAAACAATAATTAAAAAAATGTTATCTTCAAGAGTAGCCTTTTTTCTTACTTGCAGCTGAGACACATCTAAATGACAAAACCCATCCTATCATCAATTTCATAACACACTTTGAGAAGACCAAGCCTGATTCACTTCTATGTCAACCTTTCAATTTTATGTCCCTGCAAGTCCTGTGATGTAGAAGGGTTTACATGTCAGTAAACCAAAGGATCATATTTTTGAATGATTTTAGAAAAATATTAGTAGCTAAATGGAAAACAGTAACGACAATATTTGCACACCAGATGATCCCTCTGCAGCACATCTTAGATGGGAGTCAAGTGCCTTCCTAATGCTAAGGGTTCATGTTGCTGATCCTATTAGTTCCAGGGGCAACTCCCTTCTAATTAAATTGGTGTTAAATAAAGTGCACAGCTTTTTTTCTTCTTCTTTTTCTTTTTCTTTTTCTTTTTCTTTTTCTTTTTCTTTTTCTTTTTCTTTTTCTTTTTCTTTTTCTTTTTCTTTTTTTTCTTTTTCATCAAAAGAAATATCCTTGAGTTTGTTCTCTGAAGAAATAATAATCTTTGTAATTAAAAATGAGTCAATTCTGGTCTTATGCTGCAGTGCAGACAAGCTGAAACACCCAAGTGAGTTAGGTGCATTATTAACAGTGCCATTTAATTAGGAGTTTTCAATAACAGCAATCATGGGATAACTTAATTATTGTTATTAAAATGATTATTATATTCAGACACAATCCCTATAGAAATATGCAGCCTTTCATGGACCATGGCTCTTTCCTGGATGATTTTGCCTTTCTGATAGGCCACACTTCATGTGTAACTAATCTAATTTTATGGGTCAAGTCAAGTAGCAGATAGCAAGAGGAAAGAAAATCTGGGCTTACCAGTGGGATGTGGCTCAGCAGCTCATCTACAGAATCATAGTTTTCTGAAAAGGAAGGTTCAAGAAGTTCTGCTTCATCTCGAAGTTTAGCGGGGTTTAACTCTTCCTGGCTGTTGAGGATCAGAAACAAGATTTATTGCTCTCAGAAGAAAAAGCAATCAAGAAGCCGCCTTCTAACTGTAGCTACTGCATGTTTTGTTACACCTATACCAAAGTGTTATAAATTACATGAAACGGCACGTTTAACAGACAAAGAGACATGAAAATTTAAAAGCAGTTGTCTAAATGAGTGAATACGCAAACAGAATATAAGATTTACAAAAACATATGCTGGCACTTCTCACCTATACTGATTAAGTCTTTCTGGAACTTGTAAATTTTCATTTTATGTCCTTAAAGGCATATTGTCAAGAAATAGTGTATTTTCTTTATAAATTTTATGTTCATGTTCCATAGCTCTGTGGATTTTTCTTTAAGAGGTCTTTTTAATAAATAAAACCATTTTAAGAATCTGTCAGCAGCTTTTTAAAATTGCCAGATGCTCTCTCCTCTTCATTCTTTTATTCTAATCTGATTGTAGTGTCTGTTCCAGTCTGGAAGAAAACACTGTCTGTATTTGAAAAGCAGGTTATAAACTACGTTATAAAGTCATTAATGTCCATTGCTTTTGCTTGTCCTCTCTTACTACAACACAAGTATTGAACCAATATATATTTGCTTTCTTGCAGTACCTTCTTTTTCCAGTTAAAACTGAGTTTAAGTATTTCTTCACAGCCATTTGCTTTCGAAAGCGGCTGTAGTTGTCAGTGAAGACGGCGTCAGAGTGGCGTTTGACAGGACTGTCCTGGGAGCTGGCAATGCAAAAAATTAATAGGCAACATCCATTTAAAAGAAGATACCATGAAAAGAGCGAAACAAAGTTTACAATATTGATTAGCTAAATAAAATCAGATTTTCATTTCAGAGTTCATTTCCAACTATGACTTTGGATCATCTGTCGAAAAGAAGCCACTGCTTCTATTGCTTAGTACATATTTTAGTAACAAGGATCAAATTCTAAGGAGCAGTATTCAGAGCTTTTGGGCACACCTCCTACTGATTTCTTTCTCCTGCTCAACTTTACCATGGCCCATGCAATTAGGATCCATATTCAATGATTTCTAGAGCCCCTGTCCCAGGAATTCTGCAGGATCTAATGGCTGCACGTGGATTTCACGACTCCCTCCTGTCTGTTCTCATAGCCCAGGTTACTCTTTTTAATAAACTGACTTTATTCGGATTTCAATCATTTGCATAACTATATTTTAGTGCAATGCCAATGTGCAGGCTGCTTGAAGTCACAGTAAGCTCTTAAAGGACCAGGTCACTGTTTACACTGAACTCAGTGAGGAGGGAGCCTACCTCTAAGGAAAGTAAGAGTGTAGCATCACATAAGTAGCTACAAATGCTTGTTTTAATGAGGTTTCAGGAGACAAAACACACCTTGTGCAAATTTGGAGGCCTATTTTTCATTGGGAAGCCTCAGTGTGTTCTGGTTGAAATGATCTATGTTAGTTTATAGTGTATGAGAAACTGGCACTATATGTTCCAGAGCAAAGGCAGGATTGACATAAACGCAGGACCTAATTTTCACTCAGCTTTTCAGCATATGAAGCAGGCACTCAAAGGAACTGTCATATGGGATCAGACCAAAGTATTCTACTGTTCCATTCCAGAAAGTGCCCAGTAGCTGCTGCTTAGGGATAAGAAAATCAGGGAGGTGTACAGTGATCCTTCCCAGCATCCTGCAACCCTTCGTCTATGAATGTCCTCGTCTGGAGGCTGCATACAGATCCCTTTTCCATGGATTTCCCTCATTCCTTTTCAAATCCTTCTCTAATACAGATCTCCCAAACATCTGGCAAGATGTTCTAGAGTAGGAAAAAAATTTGTTTTCACTCTAAACTAATCTTTTCTTAATTTCATTAAGCATTGCCCTGTTGCTAGGTAAATACGGAGTAATCAATCAGTTTGTATGCACTTTTGTCATTCATCCATCAAGCTAGCAAAAACATTATCAGATAAAAAAAATAGCAAATTGGCATGATAATCATTATAATATTACCAGTACTTATTATCAGTGCTACATGCATTGTCTGTTGCTTTACCCTCACAGCTGTATCAGGAATATATAGTAACGTTCATTTAGTAACAAATACCACTCAGTTGTTATGCAGGATTTTCAGCTCCCCCATTATTATATCAGTTTTTCTTTCATTATCTCTAAATAGCAAAAATGAGAACTTAGGTACAGAAGGGTAAAAAATTGCCAATGAAGCCAGCTAGGAAAAAAATCTACCTAATGTAAGTGTCACCTCACCTAACTCGTTTTCTAATAAGCGAATGCAGATATCTCTTCACAGCAAGTTTAGCCAAAAGATGGCTGTTGACACTGGTGAAAATTCCATCAGCGTGCCTTGCATTTCTGAAATGGACAATAAATAAACTCCACAATACAACCTGGGTTCATATAATTTTGATAACTTTTATTTTGTAAAAATATTACTTTCCTTAAGTTATCTATTGTACATATTAGATTAAGCTAATTTCATAAAACAACTTCTAGATTTTCACAATATACTTTTTAGCCTTTCCTGGGAAGTGAATGAATTCACTGTGCCAGAATGGCAACGCAATCAACATTTCTGCAGACATTCCTACTGCTACCAGTATTCAACCAGAGGCCAGGTGGGGTTTTTTCTGTAATTGATTCTTCCTTTCCTATGTCTGTTTGAAAATGTGACCAATCTTTGGCATAATTCAAATAGTGCATCTAATTTTGTAAAAATATTACTTTCCTTAAGTTATCTATTGTACATATTAGATTAAGCTAATTTCATAAAACAACTTCTAGATTTTCACAATATACTTTTTAGCCTTTCCTGGGAAGTGAATGAATTCACTGTGCCAGAATGGCAACGCAATCAACATTTCTGCAGACATTCCTACTGCTACCAGTATTCAACCAGAGGCCAGGTGGGGTTTTTTCTGTAATTGATTCTTCCTGTCCTATTTCTGTTTGAAAATGTGACCAATCTTTTGGCATAATTCAAATAGTGCATTTAATTTCATAAAACAACTTCTAGATTTTCACAATATACTTTTTAGCCCTTCCTGGGAAGTGAATGAATTCACTGTGCCAGAATGGCAACGCAATCAACATTTCTGCAGACATTCCTACTGCTACCAGTATTCAACCAGAGGCCAGGTGGGGTTTTTTCTGTAATTGATTCTTCCTTTCCTATGTCTGTTTGAAAATGTGACCAATCTTTGGCATAATTCAAATAGTGCATCATCATTTGTATTTATGATAGTAAAGAAACTCACCTATCAATAATTCTGGAGAGATCAAAATAGAATTTCTCATTTTCAGGTAGTGTGTTCTGCAAAATGTCTGATTCAGACTTTAATGACCCGTGGGCATGGTCAGGTTCACTGGCTCCATCAAATGGCATTCTGTTTCCCAATCTGTTGGAGAAGGAGACCATGTAAAGATACAGTTAGCTGAGGACATGCAACACTTCACTGCAACTTACATTCTGGTTTGTGTCAAAATGCACATTTACCTACTTAAATCCATAAGGCATTTTAAAGTAGTCTGTGTAAAACAAAAATGACTTTTGGATATAATCCACGCTCAGGGATAGAGTAATCGACGTACCTACTTAAATCCATAAGGCATTTTAAAGCAGTCTGTATAAAACAAAAATGACTTTTTGGATATAATCCACGCCCAGGGATAGAGTAATTGACATAACAGATCCTTCTCTCTAATGCATATTTTCTAGATATATGTTGTCATTGCACACAATTTATTCCAGGGACAGCACATAATGTATGGCAATTACAGCTCAAGTGACAACCATGAAGCTTTTCATCCTAACTATGTTTTATATAAACGATGGATGGAATTACCAGCCTCCACCCATGCAAAGTGCAAACAGTTCCTGTGAAGTACTTACCTTCCAATTAAGACTTAAAATGTGCATTGAAATGCAGTATGAAACCCTTCTTAGGCCTTCTCTAAAGAAAATGAATACACCATCAAGAACTCCAAACTAAACATGAAGAGCAGTCACATATCGTCTTATATGAATACACCATCAAGAACTCCAAACTAAATAATGAAGAGCAGTCACATTTCGCTATGTGGTCTTACTCTCTCATGTTTAAATTAATTTCCTAGTTGCAAGTTAAAAAAGGTTCACATTTAATCTTTTAAAATGCATCCTGGCAGTTGCTCTCTATAAACTGATTTACAGTTACTTCACATTTTCATGAACTGCTGTTTCTTACGATGTGGCATATTTTAAGAAGGGCAGCCCGACGGCACAGAAGCCGTTTAGCATCAAAGGTTTCCTTCAGCTGCTGTTACGCTCCGTGGCAGACACCAGGCTCCCATGGCTATAGCAAACCTCCGTGTGTGAGGATGTGCAAAAATCACATACAAAGACTAGGATAGGCTATTGTCTTTGTAATTTTACAGTCATTACAGCTATTAGTAATATTTATATATCGGAGGCGTGTAAGATTTCTGTCTGGTAAAAACAAAGTAAAGTTATTGTGGAAATAAACCAACTCAAGTCACACCTTTGGAAAATCGGTCACTCTGCTGTTTTTCTATTCCGTTTTCCTTTGGTCTTTTTACACTTTATGTTCCTCTCACCTGAACACAAAACATACCTTTCGGCCATCTGATTTACTTTAGTTGGACAACTAATAACAACTTTAACATTTTAAAGGACGCAGCAGGGCAGATGCAGCACATCAGCCCATAAGAACCACGTCCCCTCATCCACGATTTAGGAATTTTTAATACGTTCGGGTTTGCCCATGTATGTCTCTGCTTTTTAAAAGACACACCCGCCCAGCTGTGCTCTGGGGATAAAGGAGCTTTCCCTCAAGAGAAGCTGAGATTGATTTGATGGCCATTCATCACGTCCCGGAGCACATTTTAGCACCCAACCTCTACACCTTCTACATACACGGTGGTGACCGACAGCCAGGGTGGTGGCTGGTGCCTCTGAGGGTGCCTGCCCGTCTCGGGGGGGCTTTTAGAGGGCAGGTTCTCTTGGGCTGGTCCCCAAAGCCCCCGAGCACGGAGATGCGCGCCTGCCGGTTCCCCAGCAAAACCCCCCCGACGGGTCGCGCCGCCCCCTGTGCCCGTCGGCTGAGCGCAGGGGAAACACCGTCTCTTTGCCACGGCCCCCCTCGGCTTCCCCGAAACCATCAAACCCGAGCGCGGGGCGCGGAGCAGGAGCGCGGCCCTTACCGCGGGACGGCGGGGAAGGCGGCCCCCCGCGGGGGCAGCGCCCGCGCCCGCCAGCAGAGGGCGCTGAGGAGGGCGAGGGCGAGGAGGCGCGGGGAGGCGCCGCGGTGCTCCATGGCCGCCACCTGCGGAGGGAAGAAGGCAGCCGTCACCCACCGACCCACCCGCAACCCACCGGCCCACGAGCCACCCGACCCGGCCCCGCCACAGGGGTGGCCGCGGCGGGGGAGCTACCGGCGGGCAGGGAGAGGTGGCACCCCCAGAAGACGACCCCCGGCCCCAGTGCGGGGGTGTGTGTGGGGGGGTGTGGGGAGGGAGGTGCAGCATCGCCCGCGCTTTAGCGACCTTAAAAACCAACCCAAACTATGTTTTTTCAGCGGTAAAATAAAAAGAAGCGTCCCTCCCCGGCTGCCCTGGACGGTCAGACCCACTCCGCGCCACCCCGACGGTCCCTGCGGGTCCAGGAGGAGAGAAATGGGAAGTTGCGGGGCTGGAGGGGGGGGACACACACCGGGGCACCCTCCTCACCCGCGGGGAAGTCGCTGCTGCGGCGGAGGGAAAGTTACTCACGGAGCCGGGAGTCCGTCGGGGGGGGGTTCTGGCCGGGCGGGCGCGGAGCGGAGCGGAGGGGTGCGCTGCGCTGCTGGGATCCTGCGCCCTTGTCCCGCTGCGCGGCTGCCGGGATGGCGGCGGAGGGTGAGGAGGCTGAAGGAAGAAGAGGAGGAGAGCTCCGTCCCGCCGCACGCTCTGAGCTGCCCGCCGCCGCCGCCGCGTTTTATAGCGTTTACACGTTTCTGCTTCCGAAGGAGCAATCACGTTACTGGGGAGACGTCACCCTTCCCAAGGGGACGGTCGCTTTGTTCAGGACACTCAGAGACTTATATTTAATTCATGAGCAGCCGCGCACCCTACCT